GTAAAAACGTTTTGACTTTAATTGTTGTGTTTGGACTCAGTCTTCATTATAACTGTACAGTAATAACTAAAATACATTTTGAACAGTAACATCAGAAGCACTGCAGTGTTTGAACTAACCAATACCCTATGTTCACCTTGCTGTGAAAAGTATTTTGTGATTGAGTAATGATTTTCTGTTCCTCCCATGATTATCTTTTATATTATAAGTTGCCAAGCTGTCATGTTTGCTTGGCTCAGAGTCAAAATAAACTACAGTGCCCGTCTTCATCATAATGAAAAAACTGGTAACCAGTGTGGCTTATTGATATTTTTTGAAAATATTTTGTATATCTCATTAATGTTATATAGCACAGAGGAATATCTATATCTCACACACACTGATATATCATATTGAAGTCATACATAGAAAGTGTCTTAAATGTTAATCCTGATTACATACGTTAATAGAAATGTGGAAAATAATCGCTACAGCTTTAAAAAAGAAATCAAATTAAAAATGAAATTATCTCCAACACATCTTTAAGTCTGACTAATATAGTCCCTTGTGAAATGATTCAACCAGCTAGGTGGTGATTCGTAATTGTTCATTACTCATAAGTCAAATCTCTTCCTGTCTGACAGTGGTATGAAAAAACACTATTCAATCTGTCTTTTTCCAAGAAATGGAGACACCAATCATTCAGCATTTTCCCTGCACTTCTCTAGCATTCACTTGAAAGTGATCTGCCCTTCCCTTGATCAAAAACCTGCACGAAAGCGAAGGCTGTGAGTGAGTAGGGAAGTGTTTGACATTATTTCTGTTAAACTCCTTATAGCAAGTAAGTAAGTAATTAAAATGTATTTATAAAGCGCTTTTCACAGACAAGTCACAAAGTGCTTGACAAAACATTAAAACATCATAGGAATCATAAAATAATAACAAGTGTCTCCCTCTTCATCCTATCAGTGTCCTTCTCATCTCCACTACAAAAGTGGAGTATGTTAATTTATGACAAAACGTGTACTCTACTCACTCACAGCCTACAGGAGGCGTGTGGTGCAGTGGGTTGTAAGTTGGTGTTCGGATCAGGGGGTCACAGGTTCAAACCCCACTGCGGTCAGCATGTCGTTGTGTCCCTGGGCAAGACACTTCACCCCAAATTGCTCCTGTGAGGATTGCCCACAGTATTGAGTATGTAAGTCGCTTTGGATAAAAGCGTCTAACAAGTGACATGTAATGTAATTTGTAATACCCTGGTTCACAAATACCAACTTACCATTCTCACAGATAATTCCACAACACACAGAAAAAGCCATTATTTGAGTTGTCAGAAAAGCACCCCCCACAACCTCTGATTTGTTACACTGTTGTTGCAGTCAGCTGGTGAACAAGCAGGTGACTAATTCAAAAATGTAATTGGATTTTGAGTTTCAACTGGCACATATGTCATTATCAAGCTTTTTTTTATTCATGTGTGCGTGAAAAACAAATCAACTTATAACTCCCCAGGCTGAGGAGTGTAGCTAAAGCTGCAATAAACATCTGTACCATCGCTTTCCCTAAGCCCGTACTGCAGGAGGTTTGCTCTCTTTGCAAATATATTCTTGCACTCTGCAGCATATTAAAGCTGTTTTAGGTCTGCATGTGATGCAACGTTCCTGTTTCCAGTAGTAGTTTATTTCCAGCCACCTCTCTAATCCATATCCAGGCCACATCACGCTTTGTAAAGTGAGTTTTGTTCCAAACTGATAAGCGGCAGGGTTAGTACAATAATCCTGTTCTCCAATTTGAACATGTCAAACTGCTCCAAGATGTACATTTCCAGCTCAGCAGAAAACACATTAGTGTTATGAAGGTCTGAGTATACGCATCCCTGCAACATTGTTTAAAGCACATGTTCACGCCTAGTGATTTTTGAAAGGAGGATAAACCAATTTTAGTCTGAGGGCGACCCTTTCACGGCTGTGTTTCAGGGAGTCTGCTCGCACACACTGCTCTCGCTCTGTTCTTTAAAAATGTAGGAACTGTCCTCATTAACCCTGCTTTTCCCATGCTGTTAAGCGGCTATGCAGATCTTGTTATAAAAAAAAAAGACAGATATTCATATAAAGACAAAACCCCTTTAATATACGGTCTGCATATATTACCGTCTCGTTATGAGCATGTTTAAAAAGGGAACAAATCGGTTTTGATTCTCTCTCAAGTTAGACATTTTACTGTCAGATCATTTTGGGGCTACATCTGTGATTCCCATTGAAAGTAATTCAGAAATATATCAAATGTTCTCCCTTGTGTTTAAAAATGGTGTTGTTGTTGGTGTTGTTCTGTTTTCCTCAAAGCTACCAACAGCACATAAAACACTGCAATTATTTGGGAGAAAAAACTGTGAAAAAGAGACGTTAATAACAAGTCCCATTGAGATTCATAATATTGCAAAAAGGCTAGCATTCTTTTAGCCTCATAAAAAGCCCTTTGGTAGTGAGACATACAGTTTGATTTGTTGGCTCAATAATCACATAAGAAGTTGGCAACATTATTGTTAAGAAAAAAATATATTGGGAACTCTCAAATGCCAATGCTACTTACAAGAATTCAAGCATCAGAGTTAAATGCCTTTGTCAAAAGGTGCACAATCCATATGAACCAATAGACTTCTGAATCGTGTCAAAAATGTTTCTACTCTTGATTATTTTCTCCAAAACAGAAATAGCCTCCATGAGGTGTCAACTGCAACATTCAGCTATGCTCAAAACACACTTGGTAATTATCACACGCCTGCTGCTGCCTGATCATTTGGGATTGTTAGAGCTGGAGACACATAGTGACAAAACCACAAGGCCAATGCAATATAGCTCAGGGTTTCCTTAGACAAATCTGATCATTACATGTGCACAACAGGGCAATGGGGTCACAACAGGCCTAATGTGTGCTGAGTAATGAGAAAGAGGGTTTGACCAGAGCTCAGACCTCATCAATAGAGCCTTTTCAGCGTCTTGATTCGTATAATACCTGTTGATTAAACAGTCTGAGTGATTCAAGTGATGCTCTCTGGTGACCCCTCCTATTTGTAAAGGAGACAAATTAAAGTCCTCCATCAAAATGTGATCAATGCTTGAGAGCCTCTGGCGAAAACGGGCACCATGGTGTAATGAAGCTATAATTCAACTTTACCGCCCTGTAAATGAATGATGGACGTTAGGAATTGACGATTTCCTGTTAACTCATTGCCTGTTGGAAACTGTATATCAACTCGAGAAGTTAACCTCATTTTGACCCTCTTTTACAGCATTTCCTTTGACAAATAATTACTTTAGGCACAAAGTATGTTTTTTAGATATTTCCTGATTGAATGATTGATGCATTGGTTTACTGATTGAATTGTGACATAGTGTATATAAAATGGTGGACAATTTTTAAAAGGCCTATTAAAACTAACTAACCTTTATTCACTCATAAAAACACTGCTCCATAGCACTACCAATGGGCACAATTCAACAGTGTATGCAATTACTATGGAGCTTGTTTATTTGTATATTAAGTTGTTTTTATGTGAATACTTTAGAATAGTACATTTGCCATTAAATGTCCCTTATAGGGTTTAAAAAATACATTGTAATATATTTTATGCTAAGTTTAAGGTAGTAGTTCATCAAAACATTACTGTAGTTCTAACTCATAGATGAGAGTAACACCTAAGTCACTTCCGGGCGAAAATTACGGCCCCGCCCCCTTTTGGGGGAAAACAACGCTGTCATTTGAATGGCGGTCAATACAAATTCTGAAGTTTTTGCCAATCCGATCAGAAATGTTTGAAAACCGTGAATTTTTGGATCTTCAAAGAACCCGATTACGATGGTCAGACAGGCAAACAATTACATTAAATCATTTGAAATCGACAATCGGGCTCGATATATGGTTAAATTAAAATCAGTAGGCAAGGCCGTAATTTCGCCAGCTGTTACTCTCATGAGCGAGGCAGAACATAATTGTTTTAACATGCCAAAAAGCTGTTGTGTCGTTTATTGCACCTCAAACATTAAAACAAATCCAGAGTTCAGTGTTTCTGTACTTCCTCTAAGAAGAAAGGACAGTAAAAGAAGAGCTCTGTGGCTTCAGGCTTGATCGCCATTCAAATGACAGCGTTGTTTCCCCCAAAAGTGGGCGGGGCCGTAAAGTGACGTAGATGTTACTCTCATCTATGGACATCGATCGCCTACTGCTATATTAAACCATATATTGAGCCCGATCATCGATTTCAAATGATTTAATGTAATTGTTTGCCTGTCTGGCCGTTGTAATCGGGCTCTTTGAAGATCCAAAAATCCACGGTTTTCTTAAATTTCTGATCGGATTGGCAAAAACTTTAGAATTTGTATTGACCGCCATTCAAATGACAGCTTTGTTTTCCTCCAAAAGTGGGCGGAGCCGTACTTTTTGCCCGGAAGTGGCGCATGTGTTACTCTCATGTATAGTCCAGCATAGGGCCCCCCCTGAGGTTTTAGAACTAGGGTTACAATACGTCACCTTCATTGTAACTCAATGCCCTCCGCCCTCTACTATAATCTATGGTAGAGGGTTCAATATGTGCTGAAAGAACTAGGGTTACAATACCTCCCTCTTGATTTTCCACTCCAGATCAATTATGCCCACAATACCTGATCTATTGATCCAATTGAAACTGATTTTTCTTCCCACTGTGATGTGTTGCACTCCTTTATTTTCATTCAGGCCGATACCGCTAACCTTTTCCGAGTGCCAACTAAAACACGAGGGCAAAACAAACTGTAATATTGCCTGTGCTATGACATCTTAAGCAGACATAGGCTTTCTTTAACAAAAATGTCCTTGTTGAAAGGATGTTGCATTCGAGTTGTCTTAAATCGGTGTTAAAAATGTGTTTGCTTGTGGCTAATCTTTGGGGTTGCTTTCACACTGTCCCCTGCCCCAAATACATATGAATAAGGTCTGCACAAAGGCAGCTTTGGCATGCATCAAAAGTTCTTAATAAGACACTTTACCTGCAAGGCACCCCATAAGTGACTGCAGCACCAGCAGTTTCCATAGCAACATCATCTTCAATTTTGTCGGGTCAAAGTGGTCTCACATCCAATCACGAAGGTATGGAATCCGATTTGCACCTTTCTGGTTCACAATCTGCATAAAAGGTCAAAAAAAACATAACAAGGTTTTCATTAGCAGATTTCTATTTCAAACATCAGTTAGTACAGCAAGTGTTAATTGTGCATGTATAGCTCATATACTTGGTATTAACCAATGACTTTAGGGCATATTTCTTATCCAGCATTCACAATAAAGTATTGTAATGTTTTAATCATCAAATCCATGGTGCAATTAACTCTTTTTTCCACTTTGCTGAATGTTGGTCTTTAGAAAAAAGGATTTCTGTGTGGATGGTGGGCACATGAACACAAAACATCACATACACATTCATTTTCATATCTCCAGCAACTCCAGGGAGAGCTACTTTTAAGTCCATATGAAAGCAAAGCTCCTCCTTTAAATTCTCATAGCATTTTTCTTCATAGCATTTATGCTCATAAAAGTGCAAAGATGAAAAACATCGAGAATGATTTCTACAACAGTCGATAGCTTCTCAACACGAGACATTATCTCCCAGGAGTGAACATTGAAACTGGAAAGTTTGCCGAGTGTCAAAGTGACGGGAAGGAAGCTGAAGATACGAGGTAAAGAAAAATGTGTTGTGTTAAAAGTCTGTCAGCTTATGACAATGCTTTTAATTTATTTGTCAAAAAAGGAAACCCAAACGTTGTAACATTGTTTTGTTGGAGAATAGATACTCGCTGATACATGACAGTGAGTTTGACAAACATTTCATTATCTTGATAAGATAAATCATGTTATGAGAAAACAAATCATCTGCAGCACCGTCTTCTAGTCAGTGGTGTGCTCTGAAAAAAGTTAATTTTGCAGATTTCTTACCCGCTTTTGTCAGGTTTTGGCATAGGAACAGTATTCTATTGTTATTTATATAGGTGACTAAAAGTGAAAGGCTTGTGAATAATAATTGGAACACATATTCACGTGAAATAATTTGGTACTTCCCAATTTCAAAATGTAATTATTATTATTTTTTTATTATTTTTTTTTTATTTTTTCAGTTGAATTATACTTAAAGTTCAGGGTAATCAACTGTTAAAAACATACTGTTCATATTTTTGTTTCAATAAATGGATGTTTTCAAAGTAAATGGATAATCGTTTTTAATAATCGTGATATCAATTATTGACCAAAATAATCGTAATTAGGATTTTTGCCATAATCGCACAGCCCTAGTGAATATACATATAAGATGATACATCGCTAATCATCTAAGAACCATTTTGGTTGGAAATTAGGATTTTGGAATATGACATTTTGGTAAAAAAACTGCAGTAAATTGGGTCAAACAGGAGCATTCCTGTCATATACATGGACTCTATATGTGGATTACTTTTGACTGATGTATCATCACAATATAATGCACGATTGAATTTCATATGAGCATGTTTTTTCATGTAATTTCTGAAAGGTAAGGACCTTTATTCTCAATGGACATCATTATCACTTTTTCAAAGATAATCTCTGAGGTGTTGTTATCTAATTGGACAGTGCTAGTGGTTCAAAATAGGGAAAGAAGGGTATAGCATGCACCAAATGATCCTTGCTGGTATGGATCCATGAACTTTGAGGTTAAATCGTAGGTGCCGAACCACAAGGTCAAAGGCTGCCTAATGGTTATCAGTTTAAGCTAGCATTTAGACAATAAAGGGCCTTCGTATAAAAACGCGTTGGTGTTGCATAAGCAAGACATAAGATACCATCTGGCAAGCGCAGTTTGAATCACACATCTGTGAGTTTTAAGTGTATTCTGCACCTGTGTTCTCATAGCATAGCAAGATGCACTGGTAGGACTTCATAACTCTGCTCTAAAGCTCCTCTGGCAGTCAAACAGTACACAAGGTGTGTCTGTTTGCCCATTTCTAGGTTAGAAAACTACATTCTAACATTGGAACCAATTTAATAGGCATATCGGTTAAAAGGGGATGTTGAGTATAGGAGGTTGTAAATAGGGCGCAGTGACAGGAAGATTTATCCAGTTTCCAGCAACTCTGAGGGAAGAATAGAGACAAAGTTGGAGGGAATGTCAGCTACTCCCTCTGAAGAACTAGCCCTGATGTAAGAATTGAAGCCATACAAGCAGTTAAGAAGTAGAATCTACCTTTTGTGGGACTCCTCTAAGAAACAGGCGGCTTTAATCTACCGTCTCCTGGGTGGAAATATATTTAGAGTTGAGGCATGTTCAACACAAACCTCTCAAAAATTACAACTATTTGTATAATTTTGCTATTAAAGAGAAGCACAAAGAAACTCTAGTATCGCCCCCCTGCTGTGATTCAGCCTAGACAGCTCAAAGTTTAAGGCACCAGAAACTGTTTGAGTATGCCACATTCTCATTAATGTGAGATTCTCTACCTTCCAGCTCTGTCTGCTGTCTCCACCTACAGAGGCCTTTTATCTCCACAGATCTTATAGAGGGTTGTCAGAGTCTGTCTTGGTTACATCAATGGAGCAACGCTGTGCCTCACTTTCAGAGAGCAGTTTTATGCATATTAGAGTGTGTCTTATGAAAGCACCAAGCCCTGCGCCTATTAGGCTAATGCCCGGTTTGTCTGCTGTGATGGTTTCAGTTTAACATGTCACATCAGCGCTAACTTGATAGATGAAATTAGTACAATGTATTTAATATACTGCACATGGCCACTAGTACCAATGTGTTCACTAAGTTTTATTTCCGTGCTGGGTCTCATTTGCTTTTCCACCAACCAGTGCCAGAGAGGAGCGTTGCCATGACGTCACGTTTACGCATGACAATCCCTCTCAATAACAACAATGGCAGACTACATTGAAACTGGGCTCATGTTGCTATTAAGATTACATTACATTTCATTTTGATGAAGCTTTTATCCAAAGCGACTTACAATAAGTGCAAAAACCATAAAGATTAAAACTCTGAACATCAAAGAAAGTGCAGATATATTCACTTCAAGCAAGTCATACCGTTGAATTGGTTACAATGCCTAAATTAACCTTTTGTTTTGTTTTTTAGAATTAAATTGTCAAGGTACAATCGAAACATACGGGTTTTTTAAGTTTGCGACGGAAGATGTAGGAAGGGGCTGATCCCCTCACAGCTCGGTAGGCCAGTACCAGTGTCAGAAGCGGATATGGGCAGCCGTATTTAACTTACAAAGCTCGATGAATTGAAACTACTTCTCCAACTTTGTGCTGTTTTCCAGAGTGACAAGGCTTTAAATGATCGGTACACCGCTTGTGCTCCACTGGCATTTAGCCTACCATCTGCTAACGTCAGAAGCTACGTGATTCACTGCCTTACTGTTACATCAGTAACATCCTTGGATGCATATATTTGCCTGAATTATTATTTATTTTTTCAGTTGTATTTAACCGTGTTCGGGGACATAGTGCTTAACAGACTGCATAATGTGAATGTGGTTAGCCTAAACACCAAAGCCATTCTAATTATGTTGCGTATACTGTATTTTAAATCAAACCACGCACAATAATCCACACACTGATCTGATATATTGTTCTCCCACCATATCCCAAAATAACATGAATCCAAATGCTCTGGAAATAACCTGGAAGTGATTTATGTAAACATTATGTATGCAAACTAGAAAATATGACATGCAAGTTGGGATTTTGGTTACATCACTTTTGGTCCAAATAGATACTATCCTGTCATTTAAAAAAAAATAAATGTTATATTAATGGGTTCGTCTTTATTCACAATTTTCATTTTATCACAGAAAAAACATTGAAAAAACAATATATGACACATAACTGTTGTTTCACATAGGCTTCACTTCAAGTTAAAAGTATGGATCTGTTACTGTTTAGCCATATCCAGTGGTGCAAAGTCACTAAGTATACAGTATTAACTCACATACTGTTCTTATTCACAGTGTGGGATCAACCACTGCTTATATTGTTGCTACTTACTCGCTGTACTACAAGTATAAATATGTAAGGTACTTTACTAATATTCCCTTTTGGTAATGCTGATATTTCCTGATTCCTTGTAATACAATTACTAATTTTCAATTGGCGTACCACTCAAGCATCAGATATCACAGATAGTATGCACTCAAACTGCCTTCGGCTAAGGAGAATGACTGATGATGCTTTGGGGTACAATAGGCGGAGATAATCAATGTATTCAGTCAGTAACAAATTACCAGAAAATTGAAAGATTGATGGATTTTTGCCCACATGCGGTAAACAACTTAATTGAATTTTCTATGTGCAACATGAGGACAATAACCACAAGTGTACTCACAGGACCTTTTTTCTCTGGCACTGAAGTTGCAAGGTTTTTTCTGAAAAAAAACCTATTAAGCCTGAGGATACATTTGTAGAAAGATATGCAAGCTTATACAAAACATAAAAAAGTATTCATTAAATTAAATTAAGAAGAAATTACAATCTATAATTACCGCCTACTGGAAGTATTTTTCCACCAATCAGTCAAGTTGCAATTTACATCCAAGTGTACTCACTTATTTTTACTTTTGGGGAATTGTCATAGTTAAACCATATTATATGATAACATCATTCTTGAGTTGTGCCCAAAAACGTTTTTTGTGAGTTCACCTTTGACCACAAAATTTCAATCAATTCACCCTTGGATCAAATTGGATTTTTGTGCCAGATGTATTGAAATTCCTCCAAGCACTCACTTCAAAGAGAATCAAAAGCATTCAATGACACAGTGGCTTTGACCTTTGATCACCACATTTGAAAAGTGTATCCTTGTGTCCAGCTGGAACCTTTTGCAAAATTTGAAAAAGCTCCCTCAAGGTGTTCCTGAGATATTGCGTTGATGAGAATAAGATGGAAAAGGACAGACTGACGGACCAATGGATATCAGAACAACCTTGTCCACTGCTCTTGGTCAATGCTTTTCAAGATTTAAACAACATAATTAATCCCCTTTAACATCTATGCACTGCTTGTCCCACAACATTCTGTGGTGCAGAGAATAGTCCAGATTGATCTATTGCAAAAGCTTGTTCCAAGAGGAAACTGATTTCTTTGTGCAGGAGATGCAG